CAATTTATGAAACTTCGCTTTTTTTGTATACGTTGTCTATATAAACAATGTGTAAATATATACACCTTGTATTATAGACTTCCAATAGAAAAATTGGTCACAATCACGCAGTTCACTACTCATCAAATTATTTGAAAGATTTAAGTAACAATGAAACTTCTATCTAATATTTTTGAAAAATATTATTTATTTTATATTCAATAAAAAGATTTCTAATGTGTAATATTTTACTCGGCAGTCTTTAATCATAAAAACGATTGTTGAGAAAATTTTCGAATAACATTCGAAACAATTTAATTCGGATAGAATAGAAATAAAATAATTATTACTTTTCATGTTGCCTTCAATAAACCATTTGTTGATGATAGTGTTGAAATCGGAGATAAGAAGAAAAAGAATAGCAAATATAATAATAAATGTTTTCAATAATATAATACGAAAATGACAATTTGGAAATATTGTCGAACAATAAAGATTAATTGGCAAATACATTAGAGGAACATAACCAACTACTAATTGACAGATCCAAGCTAATCTGTTCAAATCATCGAGATACATATATGTTTATTGAAATAATAATATAATCACATCACATCATTCTTGTTATATTGGAAATAATGATCTTGAATGAAATGAAATCAATAAGATTGATTATATTTTAGTGGTGAAATCTGAAATCGATTCGTGTCAAAGATCATTTCTTCATTGTGACTCATGATGATATTCAGAGAATTGTTGTGAGAGCATTAAGATTAGAAGGTGAGTGTGAAGAAAATTTTCATATAAGATAAACTAAAAAATACTTCTAGAATATTCTGTTAACTTTCAGAAGACCAGTTTTCTAATAATCGAAACTGATTGAAGATCGATAAAAAAAACTCGACTCAAATCTATAAGTTCTGTAATATAGAGAATGACAATGTAAATATTTTATATTTTAGCTTCATCAGAGATTGCAATGGCAAGTAGTATTTTGAAAAATTTTGCGAATCTCAGATGGTGAATATATGGATGCGAAGATTAGAAACTTCTATTTACTTATATCCACACAACGACCATACAGAATGGTTGTTTTTCAGATTAGTCAATTTTTCTTGATAGATTTTCAAAAAGTAATTGTTGATAATGTAAATATTTTTTTGGAGACTATATACTAGCAGAATTGAAAATGAAAAATCTCTCAGTATTTACAGTCTATACTTCGACTGTCATTCATTCATTCATTGTTTTCTTGAATTTAAAATTTTGTGCCTTCAGAAACACGTGTTTATATTGTAACAATTTTTTTTCTTGTATCACCTTATTATAACTGTGCACATTTCTCATTCATGGAAAGAATGCGAGTTGTTATTATAGATATTATTGCGTTCGAACGATGATGATGCATTCGTTTCGTTCGTTATCGTTGTTCTTTGACGCAGACTCGCATTTGTTTGCACAAACACACTTAAAAATGAATGATAGAAATAATCTTTCATTTAGTAGCAAACAAAACACATTCGCATACATAACAACTTATCAAGCAACAAAAAAAACGTCTATCAACAAAGAAAAAAAAGAAACAATTTCTATTTAACTAAGAAGACGAACAATTTTTTTCTTGTAATTTTTCTGTCTTTTTTACAGTATTATTGAAATTTTTTAGACGAACTAACTAACAAAATGAAAATTTGCATTCATTTTCATTTATTATATGGTCATCGATCGATAAGCAGTATATAATTAATAATTATGTGTTTGTAAGACGAACGAAATAGGAAAGAAAGACGAGAAAGAAAGAAAGAAAGAAAGAAAGAAATACAGCAGAAAATGGTAGTCTTTTTTCTTTTTGCTTTCGATGAGATTTTTATTAACTGAATGCAATGCACATGAAAAACATTTAATGCAGTCAGAGACAACTAAAAGAAAAAAAACAGCAACAATATTTTTAAATTCCATTTATGATTAAAATTTTCGTTTCGTTTTCTTTTCCAACGAATAACGATCGATAATGCAATCACTTTGAAATTAAAAAAGAAAGAACGAACGATCGAGATAAGAAGTCGTTAATGTATATTTATAGCAACCAGCCAAGAAACAACCAAAACATATTTAGAGGGTGTGATTATACGATATGGATGAAGAGAAAACTCACACCCATATTTCTAGATGCAAATCAAAATCATATTCATTTGTATTTGTTCAGTATATTAATTTTATTTTGTTTAAATAATTATCAATCATTCATCAATAGGAAAATTGACTGTGGCATGCCATTTGACTTCGTACGTAGTATGATTATGAGAAGATAACAGCTAGACTAAGATAAGCTTAAACAAATACGTATTGATGATCTAACAGTAATGGAAAGTTATAGGACATTTTAACATTGATATGACCATGATCATCTTTTGAATTAGTCATAGTTGTACGAGTGCTATTCAGTATTCGCATTAATTTTCATTTGTTCTATCTTAGCCAAAGAAAAAAAAGAAACAACTATTTATAATTGAGTAACATTATTGATCGACTGCATTAAGTGTCTTAAATTCAGCAATCTAAAACACATCACTTGAATCAATGTTACAAATGTATAGTATTTGAATGAATTTTGCTGAGATTTAATCATACCCTTTGTAGATAATTGATTCATATTAAAACGGTTGAGATTATTTGACTGATATTTGATTAACATATTCTACTAAGTGTTCGTGGGAGAGTTCAACGAGAATGAACATATATCTTTTTCAACATAGTCGATTTTCAAATAGATATGGTAAACTACTAGTTTTCTCAAACAAATATTCAAGTCAAAACTTTCTATTAAGATTTTTCGTGCTTCGATCGATGCTTAGACATATCCATAATATGAGATGGAATGGTGTCTAATATTTGAATGTATTTCATCATCAATTATAAAAACGACTATCGTTTTTTCTTTACATCGTCGATTGAATAAAAAGTAAACATGTCAATTGAGTTCGAATTCGAAGATATTCGATTGAATAACGAAGGAAGAACTACTATTGAGATTCGGTAGAACTATTGAATTTTCAATATCCTTATTTTGTCAAAGACATCTGTAGAATTTCAAACTGACAGAAAATATTTTTTTTGCATTAAGTCTTAAGATCTTATATATAGTGGTAGCTTTCCTCGGATTAATCGACACATTACGAATTCAATAGTTTCGATAAATTTCAATAGTAACTCAAATTCATTTAAGACTTTCATCACTAGACACTATGCAGCACTTACAGGCGATTTTTTCTTGATTCATCTGATCATGAAGACGGTTAAGAAATATTCTGAAAATTGGGCACCTTATATTGATTCTTATATACATGATAATGAAAGTAATCATGATGTTGTAATCGATCACTAACAAAAATAATTCTTATTGATAGGAAAAAAAAACTTCTTGAATATAAATCATACCATCGTGTTGATTTTTATTTTTATAAATGAAAATCATTGCATTCAACAAAAAATAAGTATGTTTACTTTTTAATTTATGTAAATAATAATGTTTCCTATATTGTTTTAAATTATTAGGTAATTTATATTGATTCATTCAATAATCTTTGACTTACAATATATCAATCGAACAATCATAATGATCTAATAAAACCACCATATCATGTTTATGTACAATATCGAATTATTAATACATAAAAACTAGTATATGTTTATATTTTCTCATTTCAGTCATGTGTGTGTGTATAGTTTTTGAATTCTACTTCTAATCATTGTATGTCTGATAGGCACACTTTTCGATTGTTTTCTTGTTGTACTATTATAACATTTAGTTATATGTGATAAATTCTATTAAACTATAATACACATAACAAGTACAAACATTTTTGAATTCTATAAATATTTTATTATATATAATATTAGAAATAATGAAAAAAAATCATGTTTTTATTTATACCTCTTCACATAAATAAAATACATTCGTTATTAGTGGAAATCTATTAGCATTATATCTACAGGATATTACACCTACGCGTGATATCATTTCGTTGCTCATTCTTACTATCTACTTACAATGACGATGTTGGAAAAAACCTTGACAACAATGCAAATAACATTGATTCATTTTATTATATGAGTTTATTTTCGTTTGTCCTTCTGCTTCTTCCTCGTCTCGTTGAGATAGCGATGCAAACTTCAAAAGATAACAAAACATAATGACTTAAGCAAAACAACCAATTCCACAAAAAAAGAGAATGATCTCTATCGAAAAACTAAAGAAACTTTTGTTGTATCTTCAGAAAAAAAATATGTTTTAAACATTTTTACATTAATTAAAAAAGGAATTTGCTTTCTTTCTTGATTTCACACTGTATTATGATTAAAATAATTACTTTGCTAGAAAAAAAGGTCACAATAGAAACAAGTAGCTTCGTTTTTTCTTTTTCACTTTATTTTGTCGTTTGGTAAGAGGCCTATTTTATTGATTCAAGATATCTTGCACATAGAAACATAGACAAAGATAAAAGAATTTTCTAATGAGACCAGATAAAAGCAAACGAAAAATAAAAAACAATGAAAACAAGCAATATATGAAGCAATTCATTTTGAGATCGTATTCATAATCTTTCGTATTTTTCTCTTCTACGAATGACGATCAATCAATAGTGTAATTATTCATGCTTTTTGGACGGATTCTTCGTTCTCATGCCAGATGCACAGAGATTTCGTTCGTCACATGTTTTGTCGTTATCATTTCGTCAGTAATAAAACTCTTGAAATAAAAAACAAAAACGAACGAACAAAAGATTGAGATAAGAAATCCTTCAAGTCTTCTATAGTGATAACAACAATAAACCAAAAAATAGAAAGTATCAACAGGAAAGAAGAAAAAACCAAAATAAAAACTATCTACAGAGAGTAAGAGACGAATTCTGTTTTTGTCCATTCTTTCTTTTCATCACCATCGAACAAGTATTTACATTTTTATTTATTTATTCATTAACCAAACACAGAAAATCATTATTATTATCAACATCATCCAAATGGACAAAAAGCAATACTCAAAATCAACTGCTAGTGGATTTTCTTCATCGTCCACAACAAATAAACCAAAGAAAACATCATCATCATCATCAACAGCAGCATCAGTATCAACATCAACAATGGGCAACAAGCAATATTCAAAATCAACTGCTAGTGGATCTTCTTCATCGTCTACAACAAATAAACCAAAGAAAACATCATCATCATCATCATCAACAGCAGCATCAGTGTCAACAATGGGCAGAAGTGCTGCGCTTCCTCAACCTGCTCGTCGAATTATTCAGAATTTTCTTCTAGTCTGGCTCGATGCCAATGTTGACGAGTCAAAAGAAGATTTTCAAACTTCGTTAAAACATTTACGACGAATTGTAGCATCCATTACCACATTCACCGATGCTCAACAATGTTTCGATTATCTTAGTGGTATTACAAAGGAAAAGGCATTTATGATCGTATCGGGTTCACTTGGACAAAAAATAGTACCAGAAATGGAAACCATGCCACAATTAGAATCCGTATACGTTTTTTGTGGTAATCAATCTTACCACGAACAATGGGCCAATAAGATACCGAAGATCAAAGGTGTATACACAAAAATCGAACCAATTTGTAAAGCCTTAGAAATTGATCGACAACGATGTGATCAAGCTATGATCTCGATCAGTTTCAATGGTCTTGATGCATTGTTTATGTACACACAACTTTTGAAGGAAGCAGTCTTAGAAATCGAAGATGACGATGCCAAATCGATTAAAGATCTCGTAGAATACTGTCGTCTTCAAAATGATATTGATGATGATGAAATTAAAAAGGTACAACGTGAATATCGTGATCATACACCGATTTGGTGGTATACGGCTCCTTATTTCATGTACTCAATGCTTAATCGTGGCCTTCGACAAATGGATGTCGACATTATTCTTAAAATGGGCTTTTTCATTCACCATCTACATCAACATATTACAGACTTACATCGCGAACAGCAAAGTAGCAAAGCAGCCATGCCATCAAAATTTCAAGTTTTTCGTGGTCAAGGCTTATCCATGGAATCCTTTGAAAAAATGAAGAAAACCAAAGGTGGACTTATGTCGTTTAATAATTTCTTATCGACAAGTCGTAATCGTGAGATTTCTTTCAAAACCTTTGCACGAGCGGCAGCATTCGATGCGGATTCAGTTGGCATTCTCTTCATTATGAACATCGATACGGCCATTTGCACAGCATCATCGACACCTTTCGTCAACGTAAAAGATATTGGCTTCTTCGACGATAAAGAAGAAGAAATTCTTTTCTCCACTCATACAATTTTTCGTATCGATCGTATAGAACATATTGAAGACAAGCATACAGATCGTCTCTGGCAAGTGAATCTCACCCTCGCTGGTAATCAAGATGATGATTTTAACAAACTTACAGCACATTTACGCAAAGAGCATAGTTGGGCCACAGGTTGGGCTCGCCTAGGCCACATACTTATTAAGTTGGGTGAGCCTGCGAAAGCAGAACAACTTTATAAGACTCTCCTCGAAACGGCGTCTTCTGATAAGCAAAAATCAGATTACAATCATTACCTTGGTTGGTTGTATAATGATATGGGCGAATACTCAAAAGCAATTATATTTCACGAAAAATCACTCAAAATCAAAGAAAACGCCACTCCTCAAAATCTTCCCGACTTGGCTGCTTCCTACAACAACATCGGTAATGTGTATAAAAACATGGGCGAGTGCTCGAAAGCACTTTCATCGTACGAACGATCACTTGAAATCAAAAAAATAGCTCTCCCTCCGAATCATCCCGACTTGGCTGCTTCCTACCTCAACATCGGTTCGGTGTATAAAAATATGGGCGAGTACTCGAAAGCACTTTCATCATATGAACGATCACTTGAAATCCAAAAAATAGCTCTCCCTCCGAATCATCCCGACTTGGCTACTTCCTACCTCGGCATCGGTAATGCGTATAGAAACATGGGCGAGTACTCGAAAGCACTTTCATCGTATGATCGATCACTTGAAATCCGAAAAATAGCTCTCCCTCCGAATCATCCCGACTTGGCTGGTTCCTACCTCGGCATCGGTAATGCGTATGGAGACATGGGCGAGTACTCGAAAGCACTTTCATCGTACGAACGATCATTTGATATCCACGAGAAAGTTCTCCCTCCGAATCATCCCGACTTGGCTTACTCTTACAACGGTATCGGTGCAGTGTATTATAACATGGGCAAGTACTCGAAAGCACTTTCATATTACGAAAAGGCGCAAGACATCTGGAAAAAATCACTGCCTTCAAATCATCCACATATTGCACTTGTGAAAAGTAACATTGACGATGTGAAAAAGAAAATATAATTGTTTTTTTAAACGAGAAAATAAATTTGCCTTCTTGAACACGTTTTGCTCGCCGAAGCGCACCAACTACAACAATTTCGCACACGCGCGACCGGGGATACCCTCCGTATTCTATTGGGTTGTACAGTGGACAAAGCCGGCAATGATAAAGCAAACATACATTTATGTATGTATGACTAGTACATCCATGATCATCATCTTCGGAAAGACGATGACGAGATGGATGCTTCTAGTCATACATACATAGATGTATGTTATAAAGGCCTACCATCTACACGCCTGTACAGGTTACCAACAGAACGTCGGATATCCCTGGGAAGGTTCATTTTGTTTTAGAGCCACCCTCAAAAGCTCCGTTTGTTTTAAATTTTTTTTTCTTCTGTTATGAAGAACGAGAAGAAACAGAAACGAAAAGACATGAAGAAAGACGACGTCCACGGAATTTTAATACGCAGCGTATAATGACAACCGGTTATTTTAACGCATGCTGTGATATTGAGTGCACGATATCTATGTCGTCTTTACACATGTTATGTTCAATTTATTTTCCTTTTCATCTGGAATGTGTAAGAACAAATGAGATGCCGTGCACTCAATATCAAGCTATACGAGTGATGACTGAACGAAAGAAGAACACAAAAAAGAATTATTTACTATTCTCTTTGATTAGTAACATACACATATATAAGAGATAATTGAAAGAAGAAAATGAAAAAGGAATTTTTATAAATTGAATCATTTTTGTTACTTATTACATAACGTTTTACAAAAATACTATTTTACGATCATATTGATTGAATATAATATAATAAAACAGAAGTTCAAATAGATCAAGTGCAGTAGTTAATTTTTTTTAAATAATAATTTACAGTCAAAATTATGGATCTAATATAAAGTTTTGTAGAATAGTTTTTCGTTCATTCATTCATTGATGAAGGTGAATATTCAATCGACGTTAGACTTTTTCCGTGAACTATTCATTCATTTATTATGATTATCAAAAAATGTTTAAACTTATTTATTTAGCTTTAAAATAAATGAATTCAATATAAAATAAATAAAATGGATAAACTAAGTAAATCACTTAAAGTTTTAAAATTATTTTCAACAACAACATGTTATCGAAAGTTTTTTTTGATCTGGAGATAAAGATGAAAATAATTCTAAATCAGTTACGACTATTGTAAAAGTATTATAAAAGAAATTCTTTTTTTTTAATAATTTTGTATGAATTATAATAAAGGATTATAAAAGATAATCCTAATGTCGAATAAAAAGCATTCAAAGGTTTGTTTTATTTCAATTTCAATTAGATGTTCTATGGCGATTTGACGAATCAGCAATTGCAATACATTCGAAAAAGATTAACCATTTTATTAGAATATAGTGAACTTTTTTTTAATATTCTTGGTTGATCAATTAATGATGAAAAAATCAAAGTAAGTAAAAAAGAAAATCCTTGCCATCTAAGAAACCTCTTCTAAAGAAGTAATCAGAAAAAAGTTATGCGATTGAATAGAAACATAGAAAATGATTGTAGAATAGGTAGTCACATACTATTCGACGAAATACCGATTGAGAAACTGTCCATCATTTGCAGTAAGAATAATAAAGTTTTATTTATCATTAAATATCAATGAGAAATGAAATAAATTAGTCATAGTTGATTCACTAGCAATCGTTATAGTTAATGTATGAAGTTGAGTGAGAATAAATTTTTCTTTTTTTTTCCTAATATTAATAATAAATTATTTTCAGGAACCTCTCATGTCCTATTCAGTCAATATGTTATCCTATGATTATAGCATGTTTTCTAATGATAAATGTAATTGGTAAGTTTTCTTTCAAATAATTATTTCAATTAATTATAATTTGTCTTTTATTTTAACAGATCAATTATTTGAGCATTATAATCAAAATCATAGTACAAATTTTAATAATTGGTTATCTTAAATTAAATATCAAAAAATTTCAATCATCATCAAGAAAAGTCAACGATCAATAACAAGAACTAGAAATATTGGTACAAATGAACAACATCTTTCAATCAGTATTTGATAAATAATGAATGATTTTATTTTCTATGTAAATCTTTATTTTTTAATGTGTTGATACGATATTTTATATTTCTTTACAACATAAAAGATCATATTGTAATTTGAAATTCATTGGAAACACATGAAATTATATTTAAATTTATTTGATTTTGATCAATTATTAATTTCAATTCAAATTGGAACTATAGAAGTAACTTGTATTAGTCACACATTAAACATAGGTAAATATTGTGAAAAGAGAACAACAAGTTTTTTTTTTCTAAAATAATAGATTATTCAACATATCAACGTTGATTTATTGAAATGAATAAACAACACGATATTTTAGTATATAAAATGAATGATGAATTATATTCAAAATCAATGATTAATAATGAAAAACAAACATCCCTTGCAAAACCTGTTAATCAATTATGTTTTTTTTTTCAATTAGACATTTGCTCAATGTACATGGTACGATAAAAAGTGATGGTAAATCGCGTATTAGTATTAAATGTTTTACACTAACATATCTATCACATTTATCAATAATTTGATGCTCCTACTGTAAGTATGTTTAATGCTTGTTTGAGACCTTCTTCTTTTTTGTAAAGTTTCAGTTCAGTAAAATACATTTATTTTATAATCCAAAATTATTTCCAATGTTGTAACAGTAGGAGAACTCAAATGAATAGGATAAATCTGATCAAGGAGCTTGTAACAGAGTCTAGTTAACGTGGCTTCAATTGGTTATGGTCTCAAAGTTTTAGTGAAAGTTATCTGATAGATATGAAGGTTTTACTATTGAATTGTTGAAACAAAACAATATGAAATTTTAATATTTTTGAAACCAACAAAAGACTACAACATTATCAGACTCGAGAATATATCAAGTAGAACACTTTACTAAATAGGTTAGACATACAAAAGTTTTAAAGCCCAGAGGCTGCATTTATATATGTCAGAGATTGAAATTATACAATCACATAATTACCTCAAAAACAAAGTTCGAAGTTAAAGTACGAATTCTGTACATATCTATAGGGTGTCCAGTAAATGACTAGAGTTAGAAAAAATTGCATATCTCTCTGCTACGGCTCGAGCAAACAGGCTGATTTTTCTACCAATAATAGAAGCATGTTCACACTTTAAATCCATACAGACAAGATTAGAAAGAGCCTTTGTTAAGTACCACCAACGACCTCAACAAAAAAATTTTACTTTTTCACAGATAAGAAAAAAAACAATAGACTTAACAAAGGATCTCTCTAGGCATGTCTTTATGAGTATAAAGCTTGGACATGCCTCTATCATTGATAAAAGAATCAGCTCTTTTGCTCGAGCCATAGTGAAGATATTCAATTTTTTTGCGGCAAAGTGACTTTTGCGCTACTCCGTATAGTGTTCTTTTCCTATCTGTGAAAAAGTAAAATTTTTTTTGTTGAGGTCGTTGGTGGTACTTAACAAAGGCTCTTTCTAATCTTGTCTGTATGGATTTAAAGTGTGAACATGCTTCTATTATTGGTAGAAAAATCAGCCTGTTTGCTCGAGCCGTAGCAGAGAGATATGCAATTTTTTCTAACTCTAGTCATTTACTGGACACCCTATAGTACGAAAAAGATGTTCGATTTTTCATTATGATATGAAATCAATTGTATTCTCGAATGAGTTTTTCTTTAATCTTTGAAGATTTCTGATTAAATAAAAATTTTCTAATTGATATGAAATTCTTATCTCTATATGACTTGTAATGCATTAAAATCTATCGAACATCGAGGTAGACGATCCACATTTATGTGATACATATGCAAATTTCTTTCCTTGCCACATTAATTAAAAAGAACCATTCATCTTTTAACACTATTATCATTATCAAAATCATTTAATAATTCTTTTATTAATGAATATTCATTTGTATCAATTAATTCACAAGGTAGTTCAAAGCTAGATTACAATATTAAATCGTCTCTTGTTTTTGATAAAAATATTTTTTCTTTTTGTTTTTAAATATATTCAATTAGGTATATTAGCAGAATTACTTTCTACATTTCGATTATGTCTTTAGGATAATAATACACATGTTATACATTTACAATCATAGGAATTGAATTATTAGAAGATTCTACTCAACATAGTACAAGTTCTTATATTCTTGCTAAAGTAGACAAATGAAACTTATGATTACAATAAACTGTTTATGTGTATAAAATAGGTTGCTCTAGCTCAAATTGTGCGGAATATTGATTTTCTCGAATACTAACTTGTTTTGAACAACAACAATAACAGATAAAAAAAAACAGTAAATTAAAACTAATCACATATAGAAGATAAAAACAATATCTTGATTTTTTTTATTTTACTTTTATTTTTAGAATCGATCATGGCTTGATCATTGTATTGACATTATCTTTCTATTTCTTACTGGTAATGATACAAGTGTTCGTCCAGCAGCCACTTTAACTTTTGCTAAGTATGTCAATTGTAGAGATGTTAGTTAACTAGATAGCTTTATTTTTGAAGTTGAATAATGCATCAGTCGATTTTATTGTATTAAGTTAGTTACTAACTACTTTTTGATTTTAAGGTTTGTTGATCACAATTCATTTTTTTAGTATATCAATGGTCAATACATTATTTACCTAAATGGATCAATTCTTCCTGTCAATGGATGCATAAAATTCATTATTCATTACAACAAACAAATACTTCTGTAATTATATTCAATGATGGAGTGCAATGTGAAACAATATCATGTTTACCAACATTAATATTTCATTGTTTAGCTCAAACATCCACTCGAATATAAATTGTTTGTTATTTTTGTCTTTTATATAAGTTGAATGTTTAGAAGGTATTTATGCTCTTTCAAATGTTTTAGGATCAACAATAATTTGATCATTTTTGTTTTCATAATCAATATGATGAACTTTGTTTAGTTATACATCTATTTATATGAAATGATCTTAATAACTTACAATTATTACTCGATAATAATAATAATTTAATATTTTGAAGTAAAGAAAAGAAAAGATATTTATTATGTTTCTTTAAATTCTTTCTTTTTATTTGAATATTTATCAGATCTTAACAAATAACTTCACAATCATCATTTTTGTTGGGCAGAAGATCATTTTCTATAATTGATATTTCAACTTTCGTAGAAGAAAGGAGTTCTAAAGTTTTAGATTTGAAGAATGTGTTGGATCATGTCTTGTCTGGATGAATTCATTTGTTTTTTTGTTTTAGAGAATGATAAAGATTCATTAATAATACCAAGCACAAATAAAGATACAAAAGTTAATTTTGAACGATTACTTTCAACAACATTATTTTCTATAAAATCAGTAGTAAGTCTTATTTCTACACAAGATTTATTAAAAAATTTGGAAGAAACACTTAATTATTTTAAATCAACGTTCAATGTACAAAAGAGGTAAAACTTCTTTTAAATAGTACATATTAGTTAGAAAAATTCAGTTATTAATCTTCTTCTACTAATCGTTTGAGCTAAAACCTTTAGGATGTCGTATTGGGTCTGAATCAGAGACTGGCTGGCAGGGCAAAAATGTTTATCCTATGCCAAAAAAATTAAAAAAGGCTAATTCTAGCTTAGTTTATCTGATTAAACAATCGATTAAAATGCGAATGTTTTTAGTCGATTTTAATCTAATTATTTCATCTTCAATTCATTTTGATTGTCATTTCACAAATAATTTTGAATGAATTAAACCTTGCTTATAAAATAAAGTTGATTAGAAATGTAATCGAGTTTTTTTTTCTGCCACGTGTCTTAAGAAATCTGAATATGAACTGACTACTTCCTTAAAAATTTGATGAGTACAGAAAAAACTACAAGAAAGAAAAGTTGCCTTTCTTTCAGAAGGCCTAATTTTAATCGATGAAATTAAAAGATGGTCGATTTTTATCAAACACAAGTCAAGAATAGAAGATCATATTTTATGTTAGAAGATCACGACGCACTAAAAAAATTTCATAAAATATAACAGAAGACATATGAGTTCTTTAAAATTTTATGTCGAAAATTCTGCTGACTTTATGAAATTCAGCACAACGAAACTTTGTTTTTCCAGTTATAACTTTATTTTTGCATTATAGGAAAGAATAAGTATAAATAAAAATAAATCTTTATATTTATAAAATGAAGTTAGCTGAATTGTTTATTTTTGAAAATTAAAGAATAAAGAAAGATTTGTTCTGTTATAGATAAATAGACAAATACATAGTATAACAACTGGATATGTGAAGCAATATTCTTTCTTGCCATGAATATCACTTTGACATGTCATATCATCAGACAATTAAGCGAGTACATGAAAAAAAGAATATATATGCAAAAAAAACTTTTTGCATAGTTCATATACATCTATGGTGTTTATTTTTGGAAAAATAAAAAAATTTTTAATCTTTATTTAAAAAACATAAAAAAGTTACCGATGTTTATTTTATTAGTATAAAAATTGTACTTATATATATAAAATAAAATAAAGAAAATGTGACCCTAGTAAAAAATAAATGTTGTTTTGCAACTAAAACTACTTTCTTCTTTTTTCTAGGATGGGGTTCAGTCACTAAAAGCACCTGAGAATATCATTATTTTATTGAAACTTAAAATCTTGCAATAGACATACTCACTTTATAAGTATTATTCTACTCTGTCTACCCCCTATGTCTAGTTCTTAGGGAGGTCAAGAAAAGAAATACTCTGTGATAGTCTCTTATCCAAAACTTGTCTGTGGACAGAATTTTAGATGGAAATCTTATAAGTAAGATTTCGGGAAGGGTCTAACGTAGAAAAAGAAAATTTCAATAAAAGAATGTCACAGTAACAGAAAAACTGATTTTGCAAATATTGACGATTTTAATGAGAGAATAGTTTATTGTGAAAGTGCCACATCTTTTCATTTGTTTCTCTCTTGAAATTCGAAATTTGAAAATTATTTTTTTCTGTTAGCACAACATTCATTTGAAAATATTCTTTTAATTCTGTTTTCATTAAACCCATACTAATTAGCAATCGTTTCCTCATCATCTGCTGAAACAAAATATTCAATTGTTACCTCACAAGTACCAATAAATAATTCTTTAAATAATATTCATACAATAACTATTCGACAATTGATTATTTATTTGATTTGGTTCACGTTATATATCAAATATAAATAGTGATCAATCCATAGAATATAGTGTAATGCGAGAGTAAAATAAACAAAAAAAACGAATTTGATCTATTCTATTTTTTTTTGTTTTCTATTTTAGTTTTTATTGAACTCGATTTACTTGTTCAATTACTTTTGATTCGTGTTAGTTATAGTCGATTAAATGCTGATGAATTTTCGTTTATTTTTTAAACAGCATTTTCTTACTCATATAATCTATTAACTGGAAATGATTGAAGAAACTATGCCAGATTATGATATATCATCACATTTTATTTATAGTATTGCTAAATTTCTTGTTATGTTATCACATGATACACTTCATTCAAAACAAGTTATTTAAGTACAAGATTTAATAAAACATTGTGATTAATTATTAGCAAGCGAACATGAACTTGAAACACATGGTAGGAAGTAAAAACAAAAAAAATATTTTCGAGAAAAATAAGTTATCGTTAAAATTCTTTATTTAGCTTTAGCAGCATTAGAACCAGTTGTATATGATTTATTTCTTGTTGAAACCTTACTTGAACTTGTTCGATATAATAAAGTAATGTGATATTATAAGAAATAGTCCCGATTCGAATAATTAAAATTCCTAAAACGTTTTATTAAATGAGAGTGAACAAAACATGTTCTTCCATCAGGTCTCAAATATCGTAGAAACTCGAGAGGATATTAGGGTGGATGTGTAGGTGTAATTTTTCTTCTCAATTGAATCCACACCCACAGTTCAACGAATAAATGATCTGAAAATAACTATATTGTTGATGCCGAGAACTCGACAATATTTGGAGATAACAATCTTCAGTTATGTATTTGATAAAAGATACGGTAATAAAAGGTTTACAGAAAAATTAGGCATCTTAATTATTGTAAATAAAAGAATCCTTTCATATCATCTGTATGTACTAAACAAAGCAATAACAGAATTTATTTTTTATAGACTGTGCAATTTTTGACAATAATTATTGATAGTGTTCTAAATGAAAGTGATAAATAGAAATATTTTTCACGACTAATTTTCGATGTAACAATTTAAGCATGCTAGCTTTGTAGCGCTCATCGAGTTGTGTAGAAAACGGTATTCAGTTTTGATTCAAGTTATGCGCTAACAACAGCAGAGCAGCTCCAAAAGTCGATTTTATGAGAAAATGGCCCTCGAAATCGGTCTGTTTTATTCTTCATGGGTGTTCCTTTGAAATTTTTGATTCCGCCATTGGATAGAGCATAAAAAGTTGTCTATATAAAATAATTTTCAGAATTGTGTCTCTAGAACTGATTGCTTGGGAACATTTACAAATTTGACAAAAATGGCACTTTACGCTTAAATTGAACTGCTTATAAAATTTATACATTCAGTTAGAGACTCAAATATATTATAACCAAAATGAAGCTTATACTATTCTTATTCAAACGCACTATGGCAAGTTTCTTCAAGGCATTCTAAGCTCCAGATAAAGGGATCTAAAGGGGATGAGGGTCCCAAAAATCGTGATGTTGGGAATCGGTTTTCTCAAAACCTACACGTCAGAATTTCTTGAAATTTTTTTTTGAATAGATCTAAGTGGACTCTATTAGTGTTTCAAATATTAGACTTTCCATTTCAGAATTGTAGGAGATAGAGCTCTTTCAAGTTAGTCCAAAATTCGGTGTTTTTCAAGAAATTCCTGTGGGGGACCCCAGGTAGTCGGGAAAATCGTATTTTCAAATTTTGACCCGAAACTTTCTGTACACAGAGACCCCACCTCGACTAGCTTGGACAGAAAAATTCAGAAGTTTTGAACAAAGTTTCCCAAGATATGGACCTTCTACCATGGAAGTCCTTTTCTAAAGATAAAGCTTCACATCTCGATGAGACTTGGTTCGAAACTACTGAATTTTACTGTGCAAGCTAGTCTAGCTGAGGCCTCTGTATACGCAAAGTTTCGGGTCAAAATTCGAAAATTCAATTTTGACGCCTCTCCGGGGTTCCCCACAGGGATTTCTTGAAAAACACCGAAATTTGGGCTAACTTAGAAGAGCACCATCTGCTACAATCCTGAAATGGGAAGTCTAATATTTTAATCACTAGTAGTGTTCACTTAGGTCTATTCGGGAAAAAAATTTCAAGAAATTCTGAGGTGTAATTTTTGAGAAAACCGAGGCCCAATGTGAGGTTTTTTAAGGCCTGTTGAACCTTCGGATCCATCTATCTGAAGCAATGAAAATTTTCAAAAACTCCAGCATAGCACGTTTGAATAAGCATAATATAAGCTTCATTTGAATCATAATATGTTAGGGTCTTTAGCTAACTGTATAAATTTTATAAACATTACAATTTTAGCATGAAGTCCCATTTTTCTCAATTTTGTAAATGCTTCCAAACAATAAGTTCTTGAGATATAGTTTTGAAAATTGTTTTATATAGACAACTTTTTATGCTCTATCCAATGGTGAAATCAAAATTTCTAAAGAATGTTCACATAAAATAAAACAGACTGATTTTAGGGGTCAATTTTCGGTAAAAACGACTTTTTAGCCTGCTTTACTGAAGTTAGCGCACTATTTGAATCAAAACTGAATATCAATTCTTACATAACTCGACGAGGGCTACAAAACTAGCATAGTGAAACCTTGCCGGCAGAAAGTCGATGTAAAAGTGGGAGGATCTGCGTGGAAACACCCATAACCTAAAAAATTCTATGATTTAAACTCAATAGACTATTCAATTTCTGAAACCTTTTGACAAAGGATTAATTCACTATTGTGTAAACGATCATATTCAATAATTTGTTTTGCTATTCGTTAGGGAGACCAACAATTGGCCGAATGATAATTAATCGAACGACAATTAGTCGTACAAGAAATTTGACCGCAGGCTTATAGATAGCTAAAAGAGGATTGATTAATTAAATCTTTTGTGATTTGATTGATTAATCAAGACACACTAATGTACATCTAAATTTTAGGGAATTTGAGTGCATAACTGATAGAATTACGGATGAACATTGTCGACAAATTGAATGCAACGGAAAAGTACATCGATGTTACTTTTACTGTTATTTTTTGCATAACTGGATGAAATATCATAGCAGAAATACTCGGAGTACTGAGATTTTCAACATACACATTAGGACAATATATCCTAGGAGTAGAAGATGTAAAGTGGTTTAATGCATTGTAATAATTGAACCAAATCCGCTAAAAATCTTCGACTATGACATATAGTTTCTCGTTGCCTATTGTGTTGGTTTTATGACATCTCTTAGGATAGTCAAAAATTTGTGGTTGTACTCAACTTCTTCATACTTGACTTCCTATTATTTTACTCAGTATGTTGTTACTATATGTGTTTAATCTCTTTCTTATTGAACAGGTTTTTTTGTTACTCAGTCTTACGTATACGACTAAATTTCTTGTGCAACTAATTGTCGTAGACCTATTCAAGTAGTATGGTGTTATCGACTTGTGCAATTCACAATGTGTTTGGTTGTATCAGCAATCCAATTTTCGATTCTCCAACGTATACATGACTCAAACATAGAACAAAAATACAACTCTCTACATAAAAAAGAATGATTTTTTTCATAAGCTATTGTATTTATCACTAACTATATTATCACATCACAACTTTTTTTATTCTTTACTCTTAACTAACAAATGATTATGTTCTTCTCGTGGATTGTTTTTCGTAACAACATGTGCAAGAATGAAGAAAGCATATCTATCAATAACAAGAAGAAAAAAGTATACAAATAATAAGAGAAAAATATGGGCAAGAAGTACACATCATTAAGTATTTACACACATAGTAAAAAATGATTAATAAAATAAATTCTGTGAATCATCCTCCTGGGTTAAATTAAATAATGATGACGAGTTGTTGAGCCAATTTTAAATTCGAATATATTTCGATTCATTAAAATCATCATGATTAATGAATTCAAGTATCAATCTTGGTTCTGGAATAGATGAAGATGGTGATTCACCATCATCATGTGAATCATTATTTTCATTTTGAATAACATTTGGGTTGTGGGTAGTGTGAATGTGAATGTGGGGGTGTCGGTAGATGAGGGTGTGAGTGTCGGTGGATGGGTTTGGATGTAGATGTGGGTGTGTGAAAAGAAGATTCACACCCACACCCGCCCACACCAATCCACACTCACACCTACACCCATCCACGCTGACACCCACACCCACACCCACACCCATCCCTCTTTTCGTTCCTTATTCCATCCGTTAGTTTGATAGAAAAAGATTGAGTTTTTTATTGGAATAAGTAAAGACTTAAAATATAAATTAAATTAAATATTAATTTAGTTAAAAGAAATTTAATTACTTCTGCAACGATATTCCATTCAATTTGACCTAACCATGAACTATTTCTAAATTAATTTAATAGTTTATGTTTAACAAAACACATATTTGAGTAATTTTGGTATCTATTGTACCGTTTTTTGAAAAAGTGACTGAAAAAAATAACCGGCTGCACTTAAAAGCATCATCATTTGATGGAGAATACTTGAAGTATTAGAAAAATTAGTTTTGCAAACTACCACTCTGTTCTTTTGTTTGATTTAGAGATCGAAAGATCTTTAGGAACTTATTAAGGGAATCCTCTACAGAAACTATTTCCCACTTGGGATAGTTCATTTGGACTGAAATTTTCATGGATGACTGATCCTGGTGAGCTACGCTTCTGGTAGAAATTTCAGCCCTATAAGTCATATTACATTGGAGCTTCAACTGATTCATAACCCATTTTGGAATTGAAATAATTCCATCGCAGCATGTGCTAGAGAGCTCGAGCTGGTTTCAAATTAAAGCTAATGCCAGTGTGCAACTTTTGTCCGACCAGAATTTTGAAATTCAATATCATTCTTTTTTTTTGAGCATTTGGTGACATGATCTGAAAATCAGCATAAAAAATTGTGGTCCAACGGATGGTAAGTCCTACTTTTCTCAGCCCAGGAACAAACTATAGAAAAATTCGTTCAGATAAAAGTTTACTCTCATTGAGACG